GGAGGAAATAAACGACAGTAACTATAAAGAATGGAAAACTGCCATGAATGAGGAGATGAATTCTCTTCACAAAAACCATACTTGGGAACTCGTCAAATTATCGAAGGGAAATCGAGTAATTGGGTGCAAATAGGTGTACGAAAAGAAGGAAGGCTCTCTAGGAATATATGACATTAGATACAAAGCACAGTTGGTAGCCAAGGGCTATGCACAAAAAGAAGGGGNAATATATGACATTAGATACAAAGCACAGTTGGTAGCCAAGGGCTATGCACAAAAAGAAGGGGTGGATTACAATGAGGTATTTTCACCAGTGGTGAAGCACACTTCAATCCGTGTATTATTGGCTAGCATAGCTTAGTTTGATCTTGAGTTAGAACAGTTGGATATCAAGACTGCATTTCTCCATGGGGATTTGGAGGAAGATNCGTGTATTATTGGCCAGCATAGCTTAGTTTGATCTTGAGTTAGAACAGTTGGATATCAAGACTGCATTTCTCCATGGGGATTTGGAGGAAGAAATTTTCATGACTCAACCTGAAGGTTTCAAGGTTGTTGGTAAAGAATCTCATTTGTGCAAACTGAGGAAGTCATTGTACGAACTGAAGCAATCACCAAGACAGTGGTACAAGAGATTTGACATATTTATCATGCAAGGACCAAGCATATTGATGTTCGATTTTACTTTGTTCGTGGGGTTATCGACGATGGAGAGATTTCTCTACAGAAGGTTAGCACCACAAATAATTCGGCTGATATGTTGACCAAGGTGGTTCCAGCAATTAAGTTCGAGCATTGCTTGGACTTAATCAATATCCAACAAGTTTGAGCGCCTTGCTAAGCACATCAAGGACGACAATCGAAAATAATGTTTTCTAGATGCCTTGAACAGTTTCTGTCCAAGATAGAGAATTTTTGACTTTGTGGCCTTTCGGGCACAAAGCAAACCACGTAAATTGCTTTGTCTTGTGTGATTGTTCTTTTATTTTTTCACTTGAGTGTGAGTGTCAATATCAGTTCAAATTCGATTCCTGGGATAATTTTCACAGTAATACCCTATTTAATCTTATTTTTTGTCCATTTGTATTGTATTAGACTGAATTATTTTATATAATCCATCTATTTCTAATATGACAACTAAACAAGCCTTATAGACTTTCAATCTCACACATCAAATAGCAGAAACCAGAATGCCACTATTACTAGTAATTAGTAAATTTATTTCTACACAATTCTCTAAGCAAGAAAACAGCAACCATAGGAAACAAAAAACGATGATGTATACATAATTCATAATTACATATATACAGATGACACAAAGAGCAATTAAAGCAACCAAAATAGAATAATAGATAAATCAAGGCTTAATCATTATCACAAATGTACACATAGTCCTCAAAATCTAATCATCAAAACTTAAAATCTCAAAAAATGAGAGAGAGAAAGAGACTATGTGTGATCTGTGTTTTGCATGTGGGTGGGTGCGTGTGTTTTGTGTTAGTTTGTGTTATGTGTGTGTGTGTGCTCTGTGTGTATGTGTGTGTGTGTGTGAGAAAGAGAGACAAAGAAAACTTGAGAGATTGATTCAAAGAAGAATACAAGGTTTTTTTTGTCTTCAAAGTTTCAAAAAATTGTTTTTGATACAATCAACTCTCAAAATCGTGTGCGTGGGACACACTTCTTGTTAAGTTGGATAGAAAGTGTGATATTGCATTATAGTCCACAAACTGCGTGAGGTTGTGTGTAGGTTTTTAAATGTTAGGAAGCTAAAATGCATTTAAGGTATACCACAAAGGGGTAAAGTGAAGTTTGCTCATGATAGAATGAGTAGCAAAAACTAACGAAAAGATCATGTTGCGACACTTCTTATACATTGAATGTGCAATATAAAAAAGTTAATTTTTAAAAGTAAAATATAATAATTTTCTTAAATCTTGAAGTACAAAACGCAATTCACCCAAATAAAAAAGAGCAATTCGGCTGGTAAACATTAGGTGTAATTGTGATACCACGTGATCATATTAATATATGGTGTGATCATCTAATAATAAACATATAAATAAGCAAAGTGAACCTTACGTGGGTAACCACCGAGTGAGATACTGGTCAAACTTCTCACTCTAAAGTTAGAGGTTTGAGTTTTGAAGTCCATATTAGAACTTAGTGGTTCACTACTATGTTACACTAACTAGGTTTATTCCCAAGAGGAATAAAAGACACGGTCAAGAGTCTCATGATCCCACCAACGAAGATCGATCGGGGTATTTTCTAAGCGTTCTCCTTTGCCTTTATCTTTTTTTTTTAATAACAAAAAAAAATCATATTTGAATAGTTATTAAATGACATGATAGGGTTGTTATTATAATACTAGTCACTACCCATGGTTGAAGACACTATATAATAAACAAAAAAATTACAAGTAATTATGAAAATTAATTAAAAAAAATGATTCGAAAATATTCATACCAATTCAGAATTTTTTTATTTTTATTAGTCACTTGTTTTTTATTTTTATTTTTTAGTGCAAACGGTATCAGTTGTTTTTCTTATTGTGATTAGCTAGAGCTTTTGATTTTTTATTTATTATTTAGAGAATTGTATGTTTGCTTATAGTAGATTTTTTTTTTGTATAAATAATAGCTCGAAGGGTGAATTTATGGATTAGATATTGGTGATTAGGTTGGTTTTAATTTTTTTTTTTGTTTTTTTTGCACAATTTGTGTGACTTATTTTTTTTTATTGGCGATTAGATTGAGTTTTATTTTGAGTTAACTTTTTCAATTAGAAATTCAACTAACTTTTAAAAGAATGTGTAGAACCTATTAATTTTTTTTAATATTTAATATTTGCTCACTCTATGAAATCATAGAAAAAAAAAAATTTCCTCATGTGATTACTGATTGTTGTCTTGTGCTGTTAGTGGTTCCACCATTAATGGGATCAATTGTTAAACATGCAAATCTTGAGTAAATAAGCAATTAAAAATAGTAATAGACATTTAACAAATAACATCTATATATAATAATAAATTCATGTCCAAACATGCACAACTAATTCAAGACAAAAATTAATTAAAAAGAACAAATATTTAATGATAAGAGATAAGAGAGAGAGGAGACGAGATAATGTGTTTAAAACGTCTAAGAGATGAGATAGTGTGTTTAAAACGTCTAAGAGAGAGGAGATGAGATAGTGTGTTTAAAACGTCTAAAAGAGAGGAGATGAGATAGTGTGTTTAAAAAGTCTAAGGGATGAGAGAGAGAGAGTTATATGACAGATAAGAATGTTAGAATTAAGTCCAATTATAATCGTCGGATCAATATTTATGAGATGATCTGAACCGTCTTTTATGTTGAAATTACGTTATCTGTTGAATATGTTTATTTTTTGTTTCAAAACGATCTAGACATATATTTGTTTCTAAAATTTAAACTCAGTTTTACTTTATTATATAGACGTGAAATCATGTTTTTATTTCTTATATTTTATTGAACGGTAACATTAGGAAAAAAAAAAAAACTAATATTTTTTCCACACCCAGAGACCCTTAATGCAATACATAGTTAGCGGAGCCCTAGTGGATCCGGGGACTAGACAGAACTTCGACCACACTCTCTCTCTCTCTCTATCTTTCTCATGAATGCGAAGGCGTCTCTGACATTCAGCCAAGCAGAAGGTGGGCGTTCTGGTTTCACATTGATCAGCTGAAGCAGAGGTTTCTGAGACGTAATTTTTGAGGTAAGACAATCATCAATCTTATATCTATCAAACTAGCGATTATTTAGTTTCAATAACTCTCCAGTTTCTCCAATGTACTCTCAGTTTTCGGAGTCTATTCTTTGATTTTCTGTGAAAATGAATGTTCTCCTTAATTGAATATGTAATCGGTGTATCATAAAGCATGAGTATTGTTAAAATTGCTCGTTAATGCTATCTCTGATCGTTTCTTTCTTATCTTACTCACCGCTGGGACTATGTATGTTACAAGAAAATTCCCAAATCGCTGTGAGATTCTCAAATAGTGAATTAGTGTTGAAAAACCGCTGGAGATTTTCCCAACAAGCCATCTTGATGTCCCTTAACCTGTATTTCTTATAGGTTTAATTGCAATTTGTGTCAGATGCTTGAATTCTCAATTTGAACGAAAGATTTCAATTCTCAAATTGCATCTCTAATTTCATAAAAAGCAACAATGTGTTCCAGACCCGGCTCACTTTTTCTTCTGAAAATGCAGCTTATTATAATTTTTTCACCACTAATTATAGCGGAAAAGTGAACTACAATTTTGGCACATTGCAACTTTTTCATGACATTGAGGGTGTTATTTGATAATTGAAATATTATAAGGTGCAAATTGAGAATTCGAGCATCTTTCATAGTGGGAAGTGTTATTAACCCCCTTTATAATCTGTAATCCATTTTAAAGATCCTTGTAGACGAACATTGTCACCTTAACCTTGCAGCTTGAAGATTACAGAATCTTTAATGTGACATAGTGACTGAGGCATTACCTACTAGAGGATTGTGTCATACAGGTGTGTTATATTCTTAATCGAGCCAAGCTTGAGCCAGAGCCTAATGAGGTTGTTTTCACTTTTTCTAAACGAACTTAAAAAATTGTTAAAGTTCGGCTCGTTTAGAACCCAAGCCAAACCAGAGCCGGGTTATAGTAAATCGACTATTTTACATATAAACGAACCGAGCTTTGTGAGCTTGAGCTGAACTTTATAAAAAAATTGTTCAATCTTAGTTCGTTTAAAACACAAGTCGAGCTCGAACTGAGTTTTATTTGAACCAAGTCCGTATAGCTCATCACGATTAACACCCCTAGTTATTTGTCTACCAGAAATTAAAAGAGCTGCAAAAAAAGGGAAGACAATGCAAAGTTAGTGCAAGAATTTGTGATTGATTTGCATTGGGTTTTCTCCTCCACCTTGGGTTGTTACAAGGGACTTCAATAAAACAAATATAAATAAAAACGATGAGCCTTATTTGACCACTCATACTGACAAGTTCTGCCCCTTGAGATAGCTGGAAAATGGTTTCTTAGGAACAGGTATGCACTTCACCAGCCAACCTATTGGCCAAGATACAACAGCAATCCCAATACATGCACCCCATTGCCCCCAGTTCAGTCTCTCTGTATCTGCAAACCTCTTCAAAAATTCCACTATTAAAACCTGTAGAAGAATGATTAATCCAGTGATCCCCCAAAACATTTTTTTTTCTCTGTAGCCCTTTGAAAACATTCTTCTCAATCTTGTTTGTGTTAAACATAAGAAAAACTTGGCAGAGAACGAAAGTATTGAAGATCAGTGTATCTTTTACTTTGGCATTCACATTGAAGATTGATTCGCCCTTGAATTGTATGGTTAGCAGGATGGCTATTTGATATAGAGCTTGGGCCACGATGTTCCTCCACATGATGTTGGTGATAAACGGCTTGCTCCGATCAATAGGTGGTTGTTGCATGAGCTCTTCGGCTGGCTTCTCTATAGTGAGAGCTAGAGAAGCCAATGTACCGACTATCAATCTCACCCACAGTATTTGTAGAGTTGCATATGGAACTTCACCGGCTGAAATCGCTGCCACAATGTTGATAGTGGGGGGTTCACTGGAGGAAATTGCTGTCACAAAGTCGATCACCAGAGAAGCAATGCTAACAGTGAGCTGGAACTGAGTGAATATCTGGATGTTGTTGTACATGCCTTTCCCCCACCTCAAAACTCTGGCTACAGAAACGAAATTATCGTCCAAGATGACAATATCTGAGTTCTCCTTTGCTATATGAGTCCCTTGAATGCCCAGAGAGAGCCCTATATCAGCTTCCATGACCACCAGGGCATCCCCTTTGCTGTCTCCTGTGACTGCCACCACATGTCCTCTCTCTTTCAAGCATTGTACCATCAGAAGTTTGTGGAAGGTTGAGGCTCTTGCCATCACACGAATTTTATCAGCTTTCTCCCTTCTCTCCTCATTAGTATAATTTTGAAATTCCACTCCATCGATCACTTTCCCACTGTTGTCCTGATTTTGCTCGATTATACCATATTCAATAGCTGAAGCTCTTGCTGTGGTAATATCGTCTCCTGTGATCATTGTAATGTTCACTCCAGCTTGTTGGCAATCTATCACAGCTTTTTTTACTTCGGGTCGACAGGGGTACTTCAGACCAAGAATCCCTAATAATATCAAAGATTCTTCTTCTAGCTTTAAGTGGAATTCTCCATCATCATTATCGTCTGGCATTTGTTTATGTGCAAAAGCAATGCATTGGAGGCCATTGGCTGTCATTTCTTGAACTGTATGCTCCAATTTCTCCCTTGTACCTTTATTAATGACTTTGATGATCCCAGTGTCCTCTGAATATTGCGAACACATGGCTAGTATTACCTCTGGTGCACCTTTCTGGTGCAGATGGATCGTGTTGTCGGCCTCTTTCCTGATCAAAATCCCAGCCTCCTCCTCTGAATTGAAATCTTCAAAACGGAGAATGGTGCATATGTCCTTCAATTCTTCCATATCCATTCCCATTTCTGCGACACCCCAGTCATAAATTGCTTTTTCAATCTGATTCTCAGATAGCTCATATGGAGGTTCTGACGGAACCTCTTGTTTGTTCATACCAACTCCCTGGCAGAACAATTCCCGAACATTGGGTGCAATCAAAGAGGATTCACCTTCTTCAACATAATTTTGGCCTAGCCAAAATTTGGTTACCTCCATATGGTTCAGTGTCAGGGCGCCTCTTTTGTTTGTGCAGATCACTGTGGCAGAGCCAATTGCTTTGTAGGCTGAAAGATTTCTCATTCGTGCCTGATCCACTGCCATTCTCTTGGTCGAAAAAACAAGAGTGATTGTGACAGCCAACAGCAAACCTTCTGGAATGGCAGCTGATGCAATAGCAATTGGTGTGGCTAGTATTCCTACTACGGCGTTGAATACATGATGGATGCTTGTGTTGCCACGAACGAATTCCCTATTTCCATTAACATCGTGCATTCTCCCCATGAAGTAGCGAATCAGCAGTACTACAAGAACCAGGAAAGCAACCACCATACCGACCTTAGCTATGAATAAGGTCAGCTTGTGGAGCTTAGCTTGTAAAGGAGTTTTGTCAATATAATTGCAGCTTATTGAGCTCATCATCTCTCCCCATGCCGTGTTCAAGCCTACTGAAGTCACGACCATTAGAGCACAGCCATCAGCCACCATGGTGCCAGAAAGCAAGAATGGATTGTGGCTACAATTGACTTCCACAATGTTAGTTCTTCCTGTTATTCTTGATTCGTCCACATGTAAGGACTGCCCATCCATGAACAAGCCATCAGCAGGAACTTGATCTCCAATCCTCAAGCGAATAACATCTCCAACGACAAGATCAAATGTTAAAATATGCACTGTCTGCCCATTTCTTATGACATCAACTGGGAAATTGTAACCGGCTCTGGACAACTTGTGGAAATGTCTTCTTGGCCAGTAGTTACTCAAACAAGAGACAATGATGACTAGAAAGACCGCTACTAGTATGCTTCCCCCATCAGACCATCCTTTCGGCCCATGCTTTTTGACCCCAAAACCAATAGAAAGTGTGGCACACAAGAGTAGGATGAAAATAATGGGATCTTTGAAGGCCTCCAACACGATTTGCAAGGTATTCATATGTGGCTTCGTGTACGTGTTTAAACCGAAAACTTTGCGTCGGTTGCCAATGCCTTCAACACTACCTTGGATACCTTTCTCCGAATCAGTTTCAAGAGCAGAGACCACCCCTACAACTCCTCCAAACTGAAGGAGCTGCTCAATATTTTTGGACTCAACAAGCTTGGTGAGGCTTGATTGACTGATGTGAAAAAAGTGATCTGGTTCAACTTTGATCAACGTATAAGATGGAGAGCGCAATAACTTGTCCAAGCATTCGCCTTGCTTATTGACTAAAGAGAGTTAGGCCCTAATACTGTAGAGAGTGGCATATGCCTGGCGCCATTTTTTCCGGGCCTTGCTGAAAATGGGCGTCAACTCTACATCATCAAAATTTGCTTGCAAGATGTCGGACATGGATTTTGGCAAGGACCGAGTGAAATGATTGCCTAAAGGGACCAGAGTACAAGAATCGAAGGGGTCTGAAATTTGAGTAGAGGTAGTTTGGAGATACTATATTGTGGCAGTTTCTATTTCTATGGAACATTAGAAGGAAATCATGATTTCTCGACAGTTTTGGTAATGGGCCGCCAGTTCTTTAAATAGCAAATGGCTCGTGTGCAAGTTTCAACGAAGTTTCCCACATTCTCCATTTTGACGCAGGTGATCTGTCATGCGGACACATGTCAGAGGACAAATGCACTGCCGTTTCTGCTGTTCTGAAATGTTTATTTTTGACTTTCTCATGATTTTGGGGCTCCACTCAACTTTTAAGGTAGGTAAGGAACCAAGGTGGACAAGTCGGTAGTAGTTTGTGATGGACTGATCGAATGTTCTAACATGCAAAGATAACAGATAGGATTACAGTCCGATCCTTAAAATTGTTATTTAATAACTCAAATTATCTGATATTTAAAATATTATACACAGATTTCTTGAAGTTTGTACATTTGCAACACTTAGATTCTTGTTATTAATGTTCATTAGTAAATTATATTTAGACCCTCAGAAATTTATAAGCTTGTAATATTTAGATTTTTTAAGTTTAAAATGTTATATTTTGACTAAAAATACACCAAGCAAAGATAGAATTTTAAATATTTTAAATTTTGCAACTAAAATTCATGTTCTATTATGATATTTATTGAAATAAATTAAAAATAAAAATTTAAATTTTTCTTAAAAAATCATAATTAGTTTATAATTATATTATCTATTAGAATTTAATTTAGTCATTCAAACGACCAAATTATTCCAATTAAAGGAAGAATATATTGTGTCCATTACAATTTGACCCTTTATTTGATTTTTTTGTTTTAATCTAATAGAAAGTATAATTGTATACTAATTAAGATTTTTTAAGAAAAAATTAGATTTTTATTTTTGATCTTATTTTAATAAATGACATAATAAAATATGAATTTTGGTTGTAAAATTAAAGTTCTATTATGAATGAGTTAAACCTCTTATTTGATTTTTTAGTTTTATTCAAATAGATAATATAATTGTATACTAATTACGATTTTTTAAGAAAAAATTAGTTATTTATTTTTGAATTTATTTCAATAAATGGTACAATAAAACATGAATTTTGATTATAAAATTTAAAATATTTGACATTCTATCTTTAATTGGATTTTTTTTTTGGTTTAAGTGTAACATTTTAAAAGGTTTAAGTATTATACGTTTACAAACTTTCGGGGGTTTGAGTGTAATTTACTAACAAACATTTGACGCTCGGAGTTTGAATGTTACGCCCGTACAAGTTTTAGGAATTTTTGTGTAATATTTTAAATGTTAAAGAGTTTGAGTAATTTAGTGACAAATTTCAAAGATTATAAGGATAATTCTCCCAAGATAATAAGAAAGGTCGAAGGCGTAAGGAAAAAAAAAAAGGCATATGACGGAAGACAACTTCTTGGTGACTGCTTGATCCCAATTGGAACGTAAAGGAAAGCAGCAGCTTCCAAGCGGAAGCTGGTTGAACTTTAATACCATATAGAAGTATGGTAAATTTACATGAGGATAATTTTATGCTTATTAAATTTTTTTATTAAAATTTTATACCAAATGATGTGGTACAGTTTTTCATTATCAATAAGTAAGTTTTATTAATATTTACTGATAGGAATTGTGCCACGTTATTTGTGATAGAAAATTTGATAATTATAACATTTTTCTTTACATCAACATGAATTAAATTGCGTGTTAACTTGACCAAGGATCGAGCTTCCTAAAATTGAGAGTTTGATGTCGCTTATTGTGTCCAAAATCACATCATTATAGTGTGTTTGGTTTAAGCATTAAGAAGAATTGGATTGGACAAACTCATAAANAACTTGACCAAGGATCGAGCTTCCTAAAATTGAGAGTTTGATGTCGCTTATTGTGTCTAAAATCACATCATTATAGTGTGTTTGGTTTAAGCATTAAGAAGAATTGGATTGGACAAACTCATAAGNGATGAAAATAATGGGATCTTTGAAGGCCTCCAACACGATTTGCAAGGTATTCATATGTGGCTTCGTGTACGTGTTTAAACCGAAAACTTTGCGTCGGTTGCCAATGCCTTCAACACTACCTTGGATACCTTTCTCCGAATCAGTTTCAAGAGCAGAGACCACCCCTACAACTCCTCCAAACTGAAGGAGCTGCTCAATATTTTTGGACTCAACAAGCTTGGTGAGGCTGGATTGACTGATGTGAAAAAAGTGATCTGGTTCAACTTTGATCAACGTATAAGATGGAGAGCGCAATAACTTGTCCAAGCATTCGCCTTGCTTATTGACTAAAGAGAGTTAGGCCCTAATACTGTAGAGAGTGGCATATGCCTGGCGCCATTTTTTCCGGGCCTTGCTGAAAATGGGCGTCAACTCTACATCATCAAAATTTGCTTGCAAGATGTCGGACATGGATTTTGGCAAGGACCGAGTGAAATGATTGCCTAAAGGGACCAGAGTACAAGAATCGAAGGGGTCTGAAATTTGAGTAGAGGTAGTTTGGAGATACTATATTGTGGCAGTTTCTATTTCTATGGAACATTAGAAGGAAATCATGATTTCTCGACAGTTTTGGTAATGGGCCGCCAGTTCTTTAAATAGCAAATGGCTCGTGTGCAAGTTTCAACGAAGTTTCCCACATTCTCCATTTTGACGCAGGTGATCTGTCATGCGGACACATGTCAGAGGACAAATGCACTGCCGTTTCTGCTGTTCTGAAATGTTTATTTTTGACTTTCTCATGATTTTGGGGCTCCACTCAACTTTTAAGGTAGGTAAGGAACCAAGGTGGACAAGTCGGTAGTAGTTTGTGATGGACTGATCGAATGTTCTAACATGCAAAGATAACAGATAGGATTACAGTCCGATCCTTAAAATTGTTATTTAATAACTCAAATTATCTGATATTTAAAATATTACACACAGATTTCTTGAANGTCCGATCCTTAAAATTGTTATTTAATAACTCAAATTATCTGATATTTAAAATATTATACACAGATTTCTTGAAGTTTGTACATTTGCAACACTTAGATTCTTGTTATTAATGTTCATTAGTAAATTATATTTAGACCCTCAGAAATTTATAAGCTTGTAATATTTAGATTTTTTAAGTTTAAAATGTTATATTTTGACTAAAAATACACCAAGCAAAGATAGAATTTTAAATATTTTAAATTTTGCAACTAAAATTCATGTTCTATTATGATATTTATTGAAATAAATTAAAAATAAAAATTTAAATTTTTCTTAAAAAATCATAATTAGTTTATAATTATATTATCTATTAGAATTTAATTTAGTCATTCAAACGACCAAATTACTCCAATTAAAGGAAGAATATATTGTGTCCATTACAATTTGACCCTTTATTTGATTTTTTTGTTTTAATCTAATAGATAGTATAATTGTATACTAATTAAGATTTTTTAAGAAAAAATTAGATTTTTATTTTTGATCTTATTTTAATAAATGACATAATAAAATATGAATTTTGGTTGTAAAATTAAAGTTCTATTATGAATGAGTTAAACCTCTTATTTGATTTTTTTAGTTTTATTCAAATAGATAATATAATTGTATACTAATTACGATTTTTTAAGAAAAAATTAGTTATTTATTTTTGAATTTATTTCAATAAATGGTACAATAAAACATGAATTTTGATTATAAGATTTAAAATATTTGACATTCTATCTTTAATTGGATTTTTTTTTTGGTTTAAGTGTAACATTTTAAAAGGTTTAAGTATTATACGTTTACAAACTTTCGGGGGTTTGAGTGTAATTTACTAACAAACATTTGACGCTCGGAGTTTGAATGTTACGCCCGTACAAGTTTTAGGAATTTTTGTGTAATATTTTAAATGTTAAAGAGTTTGAGTAATTTAGTGACAAATTTCAAAGATTATAAGGATAATTCTCCCAAGATAATAAGAAAGGTCGAAGGCGTAAGGAAAAAAAAAAAGGCATATGACGGAAGACAACTTCTTGGTGACTGCTTGATCCCAATTGGAACGTAAAGGAAAGCAGCAGCTTCCAAGCGGAAGCTGGTTGAACTTTAATACCATATAGAAGTATGGTAAATTTACATGAGGATAATTTTATGCTTATTAAATTTTTTTATTAAAATTTTATACCAAATGATGTGGTACAGTTTTTCATTATCAAATAAGTAAGTTTTATTAATATTTACTGATAGGAATTGTGCCACGTTATTTGTGATAGAAAATTTGATAATTATAACATTTTTCTTTACATCAACATGAATTAAATTGCGTGTTAACTTGACCAAGGATCGAGCTTCCTAAAATTGAGAGTTTGATGTCGCTTATTGTGTCCAAAATCACATCATTATAGTGTGTTTGGTTTAAGCATTAAGAAGAATTGGATTGGACAAACTCATAAGAAATAGTGAGTTCTACATTTATCCTATCCAATATGTTATTTGGATGGAGTATTAAATGATGGTATAAATATTAAATTATTAAAAAATCCTCAAGATAAAGAATGATATTTTTTGCACAAATACTTTCCAGTCGAGTATTTAAACTCACCAAATAAGTGGGTTTATTTAAGAGCCTGTATGTAGATTTAAAGCATTATTCATTTAGGATAAGAGTATTTTTATGTGATAATACCGAACTCAAAATAGGTATCCAAATATAGGTATACATAGGATGAAGTGGGGTCAGGTATATTTTCTCCCATCCCTATTTTTTAATACCTAAAACAAACACACTTTTAATTTTGGGCGTGCTGAGTTCTGCTTTTCGATGCCGTGGAGTTGGGTGGTTTCATGCCGTAGAGTTGTCCGCGTAAAATGGAAATGTGTGTGTAATTTACCG